AAACCAGGCTGCAGCGTTCCAGCACGGCCTCTGGTTCCTGCTAAAACACAGGCAAAAGGTGCTACATGGCTGTAATAAAATTCCCCTACCGCCAGCTGAAGGGATTTCTGCAGGGGGGCACGCAGGCAGGGTTGCAGGCAGCCCCTTCCCCAGGGCTTTCCAGACACCGTCTTTGCAAAGTGGAGGGAAGTGGGAGTAATACCTTAAATGAGGTGTCACCGATAAAGTGCTTCAAACCCTGCCCTTCGTCCCCCTGGGAGCTGTCTAACATCACCAGTCCACTTGTCTTTGACAGTAAAGAGCAGCCAAATAGCATGAAAATAGGTTGCTTTTGTATCTTTTCCTCCCTATGTTTTGCTGTGCTTTTTGTCTGCTGGTGGAAGCCAGCCCCAAGGGCAGGTTGGAGCCTTTGGGAAGAAAGCGGAGTACAGGCTTGGGATTCCTCTATCACAGACTTACCAAGGGTTATTTGCTCTCTGGCACAGTTGAAAGCAGCCCAGCAAAGCAGCTGCATAAAACTGCAACAACTTCACTGAGGTTTATTTCATCTGTGCCTTACTCAGCTCCAGAGAAGCTCGGGTGTGTTTGTGTGCAGTCAAAAACTCACCGTGATCTCGGGAGACATCACTGTGACAGGTTTGGGGTGGTGCAGGGGGGCATCAGGGCAAGGGGCCTGCAACCCTCATCCTTAGTAGCTGGGGTTTGGGTACAAACAAGGCATTGCCTGGGAAATGAGCCTGCTGCCTCTATCACCTTATTTTTTAACAAAAAAATATGGCTGGGGAGCTTGCTACAGATTGTCTGTCAAAGCTCTTCCCTTCATTCGCACAGGCAAAGAGGTGGCTAGCGTGGATTTTATATGAGCTGTTCTGAGCAGCCGCTGGTAGCGATGCTCCTCGCCCGCACCATTTTGTCGGGAGCCCTTTATCCTTCCTTTGTCCCATGCAAACCCGCTGCAGCACAGAAACCCGTCACCCCACACACTCTGCTGAGGCCTTCAATCCCTTTGTGCAGGCTGTTTCATTTCATAGACTCAAGGGTCACTTTTATTGTGGTCTCTGCTAAATGAAATCACAAAAGCAATTTAAAATCGCTTAAGCAAATCATGAAAGATGCAATATGAGGAAAGGGCTGTGAATAATGGTTAGCCTAAAGCATTGCAACAAAGGGAGTGACTGTGCTTCTGTCAGGTCCTTTCTCTTGGTCCGTATCCTTCATGCTGAATTCCTCATCTTCTGCCTCAGATTTTGGGCAGGAACTCATCAAAGGAGAAAGACACTCTTATCAGATTTCTAACATTGCCTGCTATTCTTCATGGAAAATGATCTCCAGGATGCAGAGAGAGCTGCAGCTGAGTATGGCATTTCACATATGCAGTAGCGAGAAAGTAATAAAAAAAAAAAAAAAAAAAAAAAAAAAAAAAAAAAAAACAGGATGCCATTTTTATCCTAAAGTGATTTTCTGTGAGGAAAGCAATGTCACTATACCTCGTGAACTTCATCTTTATCTGACCACCTAACACTGAGCGGTAACTCCTGGCTGCCTCCAAGCTTCGTCCTAGTGCTCAGTGGTGCAATATAGAACAAACACAGAGGTGACTAAAATGACTCAGTTGTGGTCAATTTTCTGCTTCCCATCCCTATTGCATCCCACCCCATCACCGGGGATATGCTTCATAGGACATTTTTGTTGTCACACATATGGTGCTCATCCCCATGCTGCCATGCCCTACAAACTGGTCAGCGATGTTGGCTCAGATTTTCCACATCATCCTGGTTCCTGGCAGAATGGATTTTCCAGATTGGATTTTTTCACCCAGATAAAGACTTCAGAGTTCCCATTTACAGTGTTTGCATTCAGCAAGGGGCAACACTTAACTGTAACAGAATCATTAAAAAAAATAAAATCGAAGGGGCTAGGCTCACTCAAGAGCCAATGTGATGTCTCAGGTCTCCTACAAACCAGGTGTCTCTGTACCATGACTCATTTCTATTCATGGTTTTCTTGATCTAGTGTTTTGCAGGCAACTGCAAGTCACCAGGATTTAAAGCCTTTACACAAGCAGTGATTTTTGTGTCTTCTGCCACCAAATCCTGCCACACCACCAGTTCACTAACCCTGGAGATCTGCCATGGTGTCTGAACAGACCAGCACAAAAGTAATGGAAAAGGTGGCCCGGAGGAGACCTTTCTGTCTCTTCCCTCAAGAAATGACTCTGTAAACGCTTTCATCCAAATCAGCTAAAAAAAAAAAAAAAAAAAAAAAAAAAAGCTCCTTATAAACATATGCTTGATAATAACATTTCTCACTTCTTCAATTAGCTCAAATAATCTTGCTAAAAGCTATTAATAAACCACCTTTAGCTGAGGGCACATGTGCACCTGTGCATGCAAGAAGACAAGCCATCTCTGGTGGAGTGAGAGCATCAATGAAAAATGAACTGCCTGAAATTAACTTTAAGCATCCAAGTGATTAAACCATTGTGCTGTGATTGTGTGCGATACTCCCTTCCTTCAGCAATTAAGGCTGTATTGATCAGATACCGTGAGGAAAGGGACTGGCAGAGTCATGTTCATTCAGGCTGCCATAATTAAGAGTGATCATGTATTGTTGTGGAGCACACGACATAGCCCAGCCCCTCGGGCTCCTTCCTTTCACCTCCCTCTCCCCTCGCTGGCCCTCTTCCCCCACAGCAGCCGCACAGATGCATGGATTGAGCATCTGCTCGAAGTGAAAAGCAGACCAGGAACTGGTTAAAGTTGTCCTGTAGCAGGTCAGGATGAAATCCATCTTTCCCCAGCAAGAACAAACATACCCCAGAAGAGCTCTTCCTGCTTCCACAGTGAACTGTGGTTGGTTGTGCTTTTTATTTTATTTTATTTTATTTTATTTTATTTTATTTTATTTTATTTTATTTTATTTTATTTTATTTTATTTTATTTTTCAAATACATTCAAACCAGTCTCCTGCCCTTAAATGTTCCTTGAAATCAACACCTTGATTATATCTTTTGCAGTGAATTTGTTTCTCACAACTTCTCCTGAAGCCTTGGAAAGTGGCAACGGCTCTTTCATGGTGCATGGCCCCAGCCTGTGAAAATCAGCAAGGAGTAATAGCTGACAGACTGTATGTACATGACTTCTATGAGAGCAGTCCTTGAGCATTTGAACTCTTGTGGCAGAGGATATTGCCTTGCTTAATTACACTGGTTTCCCGTATATCCTTTCCCAGGTTACTTACAGGACTTACTCTGAGCCTCAGAAGAATGGTGCATGTCAAGCAAGGTGTGTAACTGCTGGGTTGGGGAAGGATGTGGGTCATTTCCTCATGAAAACCGCAGAATGCAGCCCTTGGAAACAAACCTCCCCAGGACACAAAGACACGTGCCACTGAGCCACATCACTCTAGAAGTGATGCAGTGATTCATTATTCATCCACAAGGCCTTGCCAGATTTGATGCTGGCATCTAAACAAACAAGCAGAAAGTGATATTTTCATCCACTGATATTTTCATCCACCTCTGTGGCTATCAAATTTGAGACATAAAGAAATGGGATTTCCGTTTGTGGGAGACATTTCATGCCACAGCCACAAACCAAACCAAGGCAGGCCAATTTTCAGCCTGGTACTTTATCACCAGCAGTGTCTTTCTTTCCGGTTGTTGTGAGAACCCTTAAATATGACTACAGCAGTGCCACTTTCAGTATCTGTCACACTCATAAAGCTCAAAGGATAGACTGGCAAGTGGGGATGGCACATCTGTGCCTGATCACACGTAGTGTCTTCCTTTGATAAAAATAAATCAGGGATGCAGTCCTGCACTCTTAACATAGGCAGGTCTCAAACACATCTCACTAGTTTATTGACAGTTCTTGTTTTAGTAGATGTAATACATCCTTGCCATTGTTTTTCCAGTTCTCTGCCCTGGCCCTCACTGAAGATCACTGCTCATCTTCATATCAGCTGCTGTCCTCTGTTGACCATGGTTCTCCTTTCTCCCTTCCAGTGAAGTGCTTTTCTGTTTGTCAAAATGCATGTCCTTGATAACCAGTACTTCCAGGCGCTGCTGATCTGAACCTTGGCATCGTGCAATTACATTTTGCACTAATTCTGCTTCCCTGCACACTTTGCACGGCACAAACTGCTGCAGGAGGAGGGATGGAGATCTCTGCTCTGCTTTTTCTCTCACACGAGCTCAGCGTTACTCAACGGCTCATGCCCAGGCAGAGTAAAGAGTTAAGCATGGAGATCTGGAAGAGACCGTGATGTCCTGACACAGTGCTGCCCTTTTGCCTCTTCCTCACACATACACGCTGTTCACATAGCCTGCATTCCTCTCCAGTTAACACCATTAAGCTTTGACCTGAACTAGAGATAGAGCTAAATATGTGTGCACCTGTCCTCTTGTAATGACCTGCTATTATCATTTTCCACCCCTCTTTTTTGATTGATGGATATTATATGCATAATGACCCTCAGGATTTTTTTTCCCTTCTTTTTGTTAGGCTTTGCTAAAGCAACCTGCAAATTAATTTAATATCCTCTTTTGGTTGGGAGCTATGAAACGAGGGCTCGAGGCTGATGATGCGTAAACCATTTGTGGCATGTATTTAATCTCCGGACAATGGATAGAGATGTTAGTGCATGCTACACTAAGTTCTATTTACGCTGGCTATTAAGTGCAGTCAAGCTGAAGGCAATCGGAGCACATTACAGGGCCTAATGGGAGAGGATGCTACACAACAGTACATTAAAGACTGAAAATGAATTAAGAAGGAAGCATGGTAGAGAAAGCAGACAAGGAAAGGGTTCTGTATACAGATAACTCTTATTGACAGCACAAATATTCATGTACTCTGAGTTCCCAAATCCAATTTTGGTATTGGATACCACTCTAGAGGGAATGTTTTGAACTCCATTTTCATGCAGATACAAAGTGACTTGCAGTCTGCCCCCTCCCACCTCACTCTCAGCAGCTTGCATAACCTGATGCTGGGAAATGCGTCCCGGTTGCAAAGCTGAGATGAATCATCCTTGACCAGCCAAATCAGCTGGACCTCCTCTTCCCACTCCCTGAAATGCAGCAGGGCCCAGGGGTTATGGGAACACCTTGCTGCACTCTCAGTGCTGGTCACTCTCCTTGGCACCTCTTGCTCTGGCTGTTGCACAGCTGAGGAAATTCAAGCCCCCTGGGAAAAACAGGAGGAAAATGCACCATGGGAGAAGCATGTGAGTTGTGAACATGCTATCTTTGCTTCTGATTTTTTTTTCCTAGTTACCTCGGTGAGACAAATGTAGAGATGATAAAATACTGTCCTACTGTCTTTTCAAAGACTAAGCTCTGAGACTCGAAAACGTCATTGCTTTACTCCATCCACTCCCTACCACACACTCACACAATTCTAAGAGTTTACTTTTTTGCAGAGAAATCTGCCTCACTGTGCCTTCCTGAGTAAAGTGGGTTTGGTTTTACTGTTGAAAGAAAAGCCCAGTTTGTAATTAAGAGCTTACACCTGAGAGAAGCAGCAAGCCACCTCCTGAAGTCCACACTCGCATTTACCAGCTCTGCTCAGGGTTTCAGCAAGGCTCTTCCAAGATCAGGCTGTGGATATCATTATTCCCATGGGGAAGGATTCGCAGCTGATGCCCAGGCTGCAAACCCAACCTCACGCCCAGCTCCCTGCAGCAAATAGATGCTCTGTGGGCACAATTTGTCCAGTGTATTTTTGATGTCTGCTTTAGGCCAATATGAATCTAACTCAAGGCTTCCCTGCCTACATTGCCTAAACCTTCATGGGTTGTAAATAGAGGCCATGGAAACGAGCTGGGCTGCAGCTGTGCCTCCAGCTCCTGGTCAGGTAAACAACTGACAATTTTTTTTTCAAGGGGCTCAAAGGCTTACCTCCTCCTCTTCCTCCCACTCCTTGAAACACCAGTGTAGAGTAAGAGCATAAAGTAATTATTTTTCACATAGCCACTTTATTCTAAAAGCATGTCTGGCAATAAAAGTAGAGAATATTAAAATCATTAAGGAACCATCAGTTTCTGGCAGGAAGGGAGAGCTTTGGGTCTCTTAAAATGTTAATATAATTAAAAAAAAAATCAATTCATTGCTAACAAACAGAAATGTACTGAAACCAATACCTTAACATAAAATATGAGGTACACAATTTAAACAAGTCAAACAAGGCATTAACTAACCACTGAATTCACCTGGCTTTTAGGAGCAAACCTGTACGGTAAGCTGAAAAAAAAGATAAAAAAGAGTGCATTGGTTTTCAGGTGATCATCGAAGTCCAAAAGAAATGATTCTCACACTGTACTTGGAGAGGGTTGGAGAGAAGGTAGGACAAACAATGTTGTTTGGCTTCTGGTGGTAGTGAAACACTTTTTCCTCTCAAGGATGTTCCTGTTGGTGTGTGGATGTGTCCTTTCTGTTACCTGGAACAAAAAGAAGTTTTCTGTAATAGATGCATCATTTACATTTTTGATAGAATGTCCCTTAATTTGTATTTTTGTCCTTGGAAAAATATCTTTGCTTATTTACAGGAATTTAAGACTCTCCCATATTTCTCTAATAAGTTCCTTTGATCACTCTCAGAGCAGATTACAGCACTGAGTCTGAACTAACTCGGTGTCTGTAGCAGGCAGACACTCCACAACCACCACATGTCCTACTGTCCGTGATAATTTTAGCGCTACCTCCTGCCTATTCCTGTATCTGTAGCCCAGCACACTCACAGCGACAGGATTTCACCAATGCCCCAAGTTACACGGTGCGATGATACGCAAGTCATACAAACAAAGTATGCTCATGTGAGGTCTCAGTGTGGCTTCTCCCATTTTGGGTGCTGAAAGCGATACTTGGATGCTGTGAGCTGCAGAACTGTTCAAAACTCAGCTGGCCCGAAGCCAGCTGGAGATCCTTCCTATTTTTAGACACATCTTGAGAGAAGGAAGAGCAAGGGAGAGCCGTGAGCAAGCATTTCCTTCCTGCTGGCACCATACATCTCCCCGTGGCTTTCTTTTTCACTTTCCCACTGAGACGTGCCCTGCCACCCCATCCCCACCAAGAAACTAATCCGGATCAGCACAGGAAAGAACAGGAAATGTTCTCAGAGCTCTTATGGACCCCAACACCCCTGTCCAGAATAAGGGATGGATGGACATCATGCTGGGAAAAGCTTCACAGCATTGGAGGAAAAGAGAGTGAAGGAGAGGTGAATCAAGAAGTGAACTAGTGACACACTGCTTCAGCAAGACACATGCCAAAGAGCCAGGGGACCTCTTCTCCAGCAGTCACTGGGGATTCACAGGAGCAGATTCCCACAGTGACCAAAGCAGGTGCCCCTATCTGCCCAGCACCCTGCATTGCTCCCTAGTAAACCAGGAACCTCGCTCCGAGGCCACGTGTATGGACCTGTGAGTAACTCAAGGCAGGCAGTACTTTGCACTTTGCTTTCTCATTGAGGTTTATACAGCTTAACAAGTTCTCCACGGTTCAGTGTGTGCTTAAAAGGTTCAAAGTTTCTTGTTGTTTATAAGAAGAATGCCTGTGGTTTATCACCAATGCAATAAAACTGCTGGTAAAAAATAAATAATAAATCATAATTTATAGATCTAACCCAAGAGAAATGTCACAGGCCAATTCAGCACCCTTCCCAGCCAAGATACAACAATCATCTACAGATAATTAAACTCCATATGAAAGCCAAGTGCACAAATGAGAACCCATCGGGCAATGCCATTATCCCTTGTGAGGAGCTGAAAACATCTCTTAACAACATGGCAGCATGAAGGACTTTGCAAACAGCCCTGTGAATACTTGCTTGCTGGGACTCAGCCACATTTGGAAGCCGTCACCACCATCACCTTGGCAAATACACCTCTGTGGGCACTCTGCACATCCTCAGATGATGGTTAAACCACCCTTTGATGCTTTCTGACTTGTGGCTACATGAGGTAGGGGAGCAGAGCCTTCTAGACTCACTGCTAACATCGCAACACCATCAATCTGAGTGTGCTGAAGTGTGCCCTAGAAAGATAAACACACACACATATAGATATATTAAATATATTTTTAAAACAAGAGGACCAGTCACTGCCTCTGATCCACTGCCATTTATATTCAGGGAGATGTGCCACTGCTCACACAAACATTGGGATGCCCTCTTTCATGCATGTAATCAGAGAAATGCATCTGTAGGGTGTGCACAGAGGGGGAGGGCAGAACAAGCCAACTCAAGGAGACAGTAAAGCCCTCTGGTGAAGACAGATGAAAAAGAGAGAGAATGATGGCAAGGTAGTGCACTAAGCAAAGCCAATGGATACACCGCTTTGTCAGGACACCTTGCTGCTTTTGCTGCCCAAAAGCTATGACGAGGTGCTGAGGAGCAGAACTGACTTGTTATTTCAGGCCCAAGTTGTGCAAAATGGAAGAAACACAAAAAAGATTATATAAGATTAACTCAAGAGGGTGAGCAATTAACTGTCCACAACCCCCAGTTTTGTCTTTCAGGTCACAGGTTGACATTCCTATTGTCCAGGATCTATGCTTTGGGGTACTTGGCAGACGGTGGAAAATCCACAACTCCTGTACAAGTTGCAGAATACTTCTGTTTTTGAAGATAATCCATATTTTCAGTCTGTCCTGATGACTTTGTGATGTTTGTCTGGATCACAGAGACTGCATATTCCCCTGATAACCTTGGAGAGCAGGATAAATAGAGGTGCTGAGGGTAGGAAAAACACATTGTCCTGATACAGGAGCTTGATACGAGAGCACAAGCAAGCACAAGGGACAATGTTTAGAGCAGGGCTGGCAAAAGAGGTAAGGAGAAAGAGCCTGATTTTTGTAGAGCAAAAGCAATGACTCAACAAGACTGCTGGAGAAGTATGGCATGGCTTTATGTGGGCCAGCACATCAGGAGTAAGAGTTAGATATTTATTTAGCTGACTTAAAATCATTTTAAAAGTCCATACAAGGTTCTGGATTCTGAGCTGTCATTGAGCTGTCTATTAAACTTTTATATTGTTCAGCTTGTGGAAATTGTTCAGCTTTCCACCGCAAAGTTCTTCCCCACTTTGTTTTTCACCTTCTTTTGCCCTCTTCATCATACTGGAAAGGGATTTTTTTAGGATTTCCCAAAATGCTTCTGACAGATAGGCTTGGCAAATCCAAATTTAAAGAGAAAGGCAGACCAAGGGTCCATAGTTATCCCCTCCTGCCATAACCCTCATGTTATCCCTTCCTGCTTGTGATAAGTCCTGCCATGGGAAAATGGGTATTTTTACTTCTCTATTTTCCTCAAGGAGTTTCCCAGAAGTAATGGCCTTTGCCCTGTAGCCTGTAGGTCAAGCAATTAGCTTAACCATCTCCATTTTTCAATATGTAGCTTTCTTATTTTATGTTTTTAATATATTCTTTAATCAGAAATGATAGAAATAATTATAGCTCAATATTTTGATTTCATAGAAGTTTTGGGGAAAGTACCTTAAAAGAACCATTTGTATCTCTTACAGTGTCTTGTCCTTCCTCGTATATGTTCCTCAGAGTTTCTGGTTCCTCTTTCTCTTGTCCCCATATATAAATATATTCTGTAATTTTTATTTTAAAAGGTATAAAATCTCTGATTAGAGAGATTTTCTCAGCTCTCCAATAGTTCTGTAATTCCCTCTCAGTAGCTTGCTGAACATCAGGCTACAACACCACTTGGAAAATATGTATCAGTAATGTTTCGAAGGCTGTTCTACCAAATTTAATTCATTTCAACCCCTTTCTGCAGGACCAATATACATGCACTCTTTTCACCTACAAATCCCCAGCAGCCCCCGCAATTAATACCTAATTAGCAAACAAAAGCAGAGATGCCAGGTGGAACAGCACAAAGCCATTCGCAGCTCACAAAAGGGAGCAATTAACTCCTGCCAGCTAAGGACAGTAAGAAAAATATTTTGTTACAGAATGAGGCGATGGTTCCAAGATTGTATGTGTTTAAAAACAATAAAATAAAACATGCTCCAGCTCAACTGCAAGATGTGGGCTTTGATTCAGGAATTGCTTATGGTAGGCCAGAGGCTGGACCAAAGGGTCATTGTGATCCCCTCTGGCAATGAGACCCAGAAACCTACTGTTCTTCCAACAGCTTTTAAAACAGATTATTTATGTCTTTTCATGTAAGGCACGGAGTCACTCCCACAAGAGATAAGGCAGACATCACCACTGAAAGAACTAAAACCGACACAAATTGGCTTCCTCCAGCAAACTTAACACTTGCACGCAGCTAACAAATTAGCTATTGCATCTGCAGAGGGAAGAAAAATCTTTCCTGTTCCCAACTTGATACACTTGGCTTCAGGCTGAGGCTAGACAGCAGGTTTTGGCTGCTGGACCCATGAGCACTGTGTACGTGTGTGTCCCCAGGGACATCAGCTCCTTTGCTGGTGCCCAAAGAAGGTGGCTGACCCAGGCTGGCTCCGCACCAGGGCACTGCAAGTGGGTGAAAGAACACAGTCAGCTCCTCCTGCTCCCCTGCCACAAATGGTATGTGGATTTCATTCAAGATTAAAAACTCTGTGGCTTTTCCCTTACAGCTCATATTCCAAAAGGATGCAGTCAAATCTACCTCTCATCTTAATGCTAGCAGAGGTATGACATTGAAGAAAATAAGCAAAAGCGGTTTAGCAATGAGAAAATCTTTTTTATAAGATTCCTAACATCAGACTGTCAGAAAGAAAAGATAACTTTGTGGATTTGTGAGTCTTTCTCCTTCTGTGTGCTGAAACACTGTTGTCTTCCACTGCACCACATCACTAAGTCCAGCAGAAGTGTCCCTCTGCTATCCCTGCCTCCACACAGGCGTTTAAAATTCCTAGGCAAGGAATATCACTCTTACTTATAAAAATGGTGATACTGTGAAAAACCTTCTTCACTCTCAAGTCTGAGTCCTCTTAATTTTTTTTTTGTATTTGTATCTGTCAGTGCCAGGAACAAAGCAGGACTCATCGGCTCCATGGTGCTGTTTGCTCCCAGCAGAGTCCTTGCTGCCCACCACCTACACACCACGGCAGATTAAACTCCATTATCACTCTCAGCGTGTTCCTCACCACCCACTGTGCCAAGGGTTTGAACCCCCAGGTATCAGATCAGCAGCTGAAGATGCCATATACACCAGGGGAGCAGCAGCAGTTGTCCCATCTGTCCCACCAAAGCTGCTGGGGTGACCCGCAGTGTCCGCCCTCTGGGCATCTCCGCTCTGATTTTTTTGGACACTAATGCAATTTGCCATGTCCTCCATGCCAAAGCCAGTAACAACCCCAGTGCAGCCAACATACACACAGCTCCCCATCCTGCATGGGCTAGCCAGTAAATCAGGCCTGTAAAAGTATTTTTGGCCTCCTGCCCAGTATGTGTACCTCTTAATCCCTAATTCCAATTGTGTAAACAAGGCATGACATAACTGGTGTGCCATGGAAATATGCTCTATAAAGTTGATTACCACGCTTCATCCTATTAGAATAGCAGTCACTGGAAAACTATAGATAAGGCTAAAGCAATTTATTTGCATTTCCAAAGGAGATGGGCACATTTTGACTTTTCAGAGCATGATCAGACTTGACAGGCAGATCCTAGAACTACTTTGGAGCTCTTATAACAGCTCATTTCAACCTGTACTGGCCAGGAATTTTTAAACCAGATATCTCAAAAGGTCAGATTGACCATAGCCTTTGCTCAAGTATGCAAGGAGGGACAGTGTAAAAAGCACTGAATTGCCGGGGTGACCTCTTTAGCTAGATGCAGTTTCAGCTCCTGAGCACACAAGGCAGTTCTCAGTGCTTGTGTGCTGGGAGGACTGGGAAGGAAAAAATGGCTTTGTTTCTGATGTAGTCTTCTTATTCACAGAAAGCCAGACTGGCTGTCGTGAGGAGGGCTTGAGCCAAGATGCCCCAGGGCAGCTGTGCTCCCTTTGTCCATCCAGGAGCCTCCACCAGCTTCATCCTGCCCACAGCTCCTACCTGCATATATGGATAAGGCCTGAAACAACCTGCCTGGGGTCATCCACAGTGTCAGTGACAAAGCTGGGGCTTGAGGCAGGTCTCCTGGCCCCCATCTGCCTCTAATCAAAGGACTCCGGTCAAGGTTTTCTGCTTTCCTACAACCCCACAATGCAGGTACAAAGCTTACCTTTCAAGGTCCTTCACCAGGGTTCAACATTTCCCTAAAGATATTTTGAGCATGACACAGGGTCCCATTGGGATACCCTGGTCTCCAAATCTGAGCCAAGCTCTGCTAGCCCTAGCAGGTGAAAAATCTTCTCCCTGGAGAGAGCATCCCTTGTCCCTCCTGCTTCCCCAGCATCTCAGTGCCAGGCTGAACCAAGCATCCCCTGCATCCTGTGGGTTTGAGATGCATTTCTGCAAAAATGCATGAAAACCCAAATCTGCCCCAGGTTTATGAGCAGAAAACCTTCATGGTTACAAGGTTCATTTACAAATCAGCTCTGAGGAAAACAGCCAGTGTAATCCAAGGCATTAAAAATTGATATAATTAACACAAATCAAGGGGATATATATCAACTTGTGCACGAGTTCAAAAGCTCTTTTTAAAGGTATAGAACCAGGAAATTTCCCATTATCTCAGAAAGAGCTACATAAAGTCCTTTGCTTGTAGAATCAAGCCCGTAGCAGCTGGTGGGGTTACTGAACCAACTACAGCAAGCCCCGTTCTGTGTTATAAAGACATCTCTCTCGCCAGAGAAGAAATGTTAACGCACATTCACATACGCATTTTTCCAACCTGATTCTTTAGGCACCCCCCGCCTCCCGCCCTCTCCCTCTGTCACCTCTTGAAAAGGTTTTTCAGACTGGAACTGTACTCGAATTCAGTCTAATTGGAAGGAAATGTAAGACCCAAATCTCGGTTCTCATTGGCATGGAGACACTTGCGCACAATCACGGTATGCAAAGCAGCAGAAGTCTGAATTCATAATTGGGCGTTCCAAAATGTAATTATGAAAGATGAAATGCTCCTTTCAATGAGAAGGCCGTAAATAGAATAATTAATTTTGTGTTTGCTTGAACAATTCTGTATTATGGACCTTACACTGGAACTGAAATTAATTAAGTGCACCAGGATTTATGGAGGAGGTGAAGAGAGAGGGAAAAAAAAGAATTAATCTGAAGTAAAAGATAGATGACTTTGTGAGTGTAATGATGCGTTAGTCTGGGGTATTCTTTAACAAATTTAGCAGGCATGTTCTGGGTACAAACAGCACTCGCTGACAGAATTATCTCAACTAATGCAGCTGCTGGACTCTGAGCAAATTGAGATTGCAGATGAGTACTCCAGATTTAGAGCTGTTAACCCTCCCCGTGCTGGAGCCCATGCTTCTGTTCACTCAGAGGCAATGACCAGGGTTTGTACGGTGCTAAGGTGAGCCTAGCAGCCCCTCATGCTTTAATGCACACGCACATAGAGGTCTCTTGCCCTGTGTTCTGTGTGGTTTGTGAGTGCAACACAGTGCTGGGCTCTGCACAGCGCCTGTTGATGCAGGCTGGCAGATCTGGAGGAAAAGCAGAGCTTGGGGTAACATCCCTGCCCTCTGGACTCAAAGAAAGAAGGGATGCTGGCTATTGTGAAATGAGATTTTTAAAGCAAACAAAGCAAAAGCGAGTGCTCAAGAGAATAAGTTTAAAATGAACAGAGTAGTTGTGAGGAGCTCTTCCTGAGCTCATTTAGGGAAATCCGAATTTATTCCTTTTTTTCTGATGAGTTCAGGCTACAGAAATCCAGGGGTAAAGATCTCCTCTGAAGCTTCATCCAAGACTGAAGTGTTTTTCAGACCTGACTGAATTAGGGATTTCAGATGTACCAGACAGGCAGAGACCCCTTGCAACACCGGGGCCTGCGAGTACTTCCAGCATACAGAGAAGTCCCTCAGAAGACATTTCCAGTCCCATAAACGCGCAGCCTGACTGATGCCATTTGGAATAAAACAATGGCAGTGGCTATAGATCCACGGATAATCGATGGGATGCTTCCCCTGCTCGCAGTCACTCAGCAGCACCACTTTCTGAAGCGCTGGCTCGGCCTGTGCAGCATCACGGCCCCGTGCTGGCCCGCGGTGCGTCTCGGCATGCTGTGTCTCTGCACGCCGTGTCTCTGCAGTGTCAGCTTTCTGGGGGCTGAGAGACACTGAGCAGCTGTAGCCCCCTGGGAATTTTTAGGAGATTCCAGGAAGTGACTGATTAGGATGTGCTGGTGCAGCTCCGAACTGTATAGATAAGCTCCAAGGACTGAAGAGAGGTTCTCTTATCACTGATTTATTGCCCCTCCTCTACTGGGGTTTCTTTGGTAGGAAATGAACTTTTCTCAGGTCTGATTTTATTCTGTTGTGGGATTATGGCAAGACAGCGGTGCAGGACAGCAACCTCCATGGGTTTTGTGGGCATCTGCTCCAAGAGGCCGCCGGGCCACTGAAGCACAAGTTGTACCACGGATGGTCAAAC